CTCGGCGCTTCGCTTTTGATGAGCTGGGAGCGGATTTGCCTTCCCGGGCGCGCCAGTCGAGCGCAAGCTGGCTCCGAGGAGAGCGGAGTTTTCCCCTGGTCGTGGGAAAGCGGGAAGCTGGGAGCTGTGGCTTTGGGGGTAGGCTGGGAACGCGGAGGCTCGGGTTCGTGCCTTCCTCTTCCCCGCGGGTCAAATCAGGTGAGGGTGTTTGCCGAGCCAGAGCCGGCAGTCAGGTAGAAGACGTGGTGTGGTCCGTGCCAGGATCGGGATTGGCACCGGGACGCGCCTCGCGGAGGAGAAGCTGCAACTTTTCCGCCGCTGTCTCGCGCACAGCTACAAACCAACTTTGCTTTTTACCTCTTTTCTTCTTTGATTGCTTAAAATTTCCACCTTTTCTTTTGCCGGAGGATTTTCCAAAGCTTTTAACCTTCTTATCTCCCTCTGGGACTGGTGAAGAGAGCTGTCCTGCTGCCAGAGTCACTGGGCACCTGTATGTGTTCGTGGGTTCGTTCCCTGCTGACCAGTGACATCTCCCTGTGGCTTTTGTTTTGCAGTAGGAATTTTGGTGTTGTTATTTGGCACAATCTTTCCTTAGATTGCGTAACAGCTCCACTTTTTCCCTCTGATGTTTCCTGTCCTCCTTGGATTTGGAGGCTTGGGAGCTAGTCAGTGCTGAGAGGAGAATTAAAAATAGAAAGAAGCGTCTCGACCTTTGAAGGTGGCAACGCTCAGCTGTACCTTGTGGCTGATGAAACGTTTCCCAGGTAGCCCAACTGCCCGGCTGCTGTGCGTCCCACCCGGTAGCAGCACGCGGAGGGTCAGTGTCATGAGCGCAGGACATCAGACTTCGCAGAGTCCTTCCTCTACCTCACAGAGTTACGTCATCAACAGGAGCTGCGTGGTTATGACCTCAGCGGCGCTTATCGGCGCGTGTGCCTTGTTTCCTCGCAGCCTCCGACTGCCTCAGTCCCTTTTTGTTCGGATAGATTTAGGATCCCTCTAATTGAGCCGTGGCTTGTGAAGCTGCTGCTGTTCAGCGTTGCTGTAATCTCTTCTGAAACATCAGTCGCCGCGTGCAGTCCCTGAGGGAGAGAGGAGTAAGGAATGGGAGAGGAGTAAGGAATGGGAGAGAGGTCGGCAAACCTGGGATTGCTGGAGGATGTGGGAGAGAGCCTGAAGTATTTACTTGGCCTGAAGTATTTGCTTCTAAGTGATGATGATGGCAAAGGTTTGGGATACAGACCCGCTGCTTCCTGGGGCTGTGCGTATCCTGCGGGCAGGAGAAAGTCTACAAAGCAATGGGATCGTTTAGGGGTGAGAATGCTCTTCCCGGAGCCCTGTTTTCTTTCTGAGGTGCCAGAATCTAGTTTGCCGGGAAAAAATGCAGTGTGGATGGGAAGATGGACAGGATGACTTTATTTTCAGATGTTGAAGTGGAAAGTTCGTTTTTTATCTCAAGGCAGCTTCTCCTAGATGTAAACTTTTTACTTGGATACAGAGATGGGTTTGGTCTGGGAGCCCAGGGCTCACCCTTCCCTGATCAGGGACGTGGGTAGTACAGGTCTCTGGAGCCTTGTGCTCTCCATAACTGCCGCTAAAATCCCGGAGCCTGCCTGCCCCACAGACGAGCTGACTCTCGACCTCCTTGTCAGCATAGCTTGGGGTATTCCCTGTGTGTTTTTCTTCCGCTTGTACCTCTTCCGTGTCTTTGCCAGTCTTTCCCTGGCTTTGCTTCACCTGCTTTCCTCCCTCGGCTCCCTGTGGCACGCCAACTGTGCCCGTCTCTCCTGTGCCATGCAGCTGGTCGCGCAGCCGCTCTGGCAGCATGTCGCATGCCCTCGGTGGGCTGGGGGGGCAAATATCTCAGCCTGATGCTTCGCTTCTTGCCTCGGTAGATGGCTCTTCCCCATCATCGGCCACATGGGCATCTGCACGTCGACCGGAGTCATCCGGGACTTCGCGGGGCCGTACTTTGTCTCGGTAAGTAGGCGATGGATGCGGGTGCGTAAGCGGAATCTGTGCTCCGTCTGCTTCTCACCTTCCTTGGTGACTTTTAAACCATTCCCCTGCGTTTTGCAGCTCCAAGTTCTACAAAGTAATGGCTTGAGATGTTTCTGGGGGTCATGGATCTTTGCTAGCACTCCGTGGGCTGCTATCCAGTGAGGGTCACTTGGGGGATATCTTAGATAGTGGCTAGTTTGGTTTGATGAGAAGAAGGGGGAAAATCTTGTCGTTCAGGCTCTTAATTGGGAATTTTAGACCTTAATTGTGAGTAACAGAAGCTGCCTTCCAACTTCCTTGGCATGCCTGTCACTGTCATGCTGCTTAGCATCAGGTATGTGCCAGTCTTGTAAACTCTCTGGTGGATTTTGACAGTAAGGGAGTTTTAAGTTGGGATAATTAATACTCTTAATAGGTTGGGACACTTACAACTTTGAATTAACAAGGTATTAACAATGGGGAAAAAACCCAACAACCACAAAACAGGGAGAAAGGTACATATACCGTGTAGCTAGATGATGTCACCATGTATAGAGTATAAATACACTCGTGCCCAGCACAGGAGCGTGAAAACAACTGGAATCTGGATCCAGACACACAAAAAAGATTGGTGTCCTGAGACTGCTGAGGCAGCGCGACGGTTGTGTCGCTAAGCGATCGTGGGCTGCGAGGCCTTCCAGCGAGAAGCATGTCATGAATATTGCGCGGGGTTATCCTCTTGAGACGTTTTTCCTTTTTTGTAGGAAGACAACATGGCATTTGGGAAGCCAGTGAAGTAAGTGCTCATGTTAGTTTTTATTAAACTAACCGACTGACCTGCAGATGTCCTTTAATTCCTGGAGACAGACGTGCTACGATATTGCTTTTCTTGTTGTTCAGATGCCCTAATTCAAGTGGATGGCTACTGTGTCTCTGCTTTTCAAGAAACCACGTTAAATTAAATCTTTTGAGAAGCGTGACAGCAACGTAATGGTATTAATAATGAGAGTTGTACGGAGCCCTTATTAAAAAAAAAAAAAAAAGAGAAGGCTAAAACATTTTAAGATAATGTTAACAACAAGCACTCCAAGTAAATACTGCCTGTGCTGTGCTAATGAACTGTCATCGCTCACATCCTGTTAATGATTTTCTGGGAGGAGGAGGAGGAGAGGTGCCTGGGTTTTGTGTGTCTGTCGGGTCACGTTTACGTTTTGAATGGCCTGAAGGTTTCACATCACAGGACGTGAAAGCAGTTCAGAGTTTTGTCTGTGCCCCTGAGGTCTGCAGTTTCTCTCTCTGGGGGGCTGAGGGTGCTGAGCAGTAGTTTCCGCTGCCCTCTGCAGCGTACGCTTGTCTGGAAGAGCTCGGCTCCGTGGACTCCAGAGGTAGTGGATTTCTCTAAGTCCTTGAAGTATCTTTCTGCTGGGAAGAGCAAGAACTTGTGAAGGTGCAGCACTAACGTGAAGGGATCTGTTCTCCTCCTTCTAGGTACTGGAAACTGGATCCCAGCAAAGTATACTCCAGTGGTCCCAATGCCTGGGACACGGCCGTACATGATGCCTCGGAGGAGTACAAGCACCGAATGGTACGGCTCCGGTGGTGATGCCCTGTCTGTGTGTGGAGAAATATCTCTGGGTCCTTGCTGCAGGAGTGGGACCTGCAGGTCTGCACCAGCACAGGGTGCAGAACTGGGGAGCCCCAAGGTCACGATTTCTAATCCTGTGCCCCTTTTTCTCTTCCAGCACAACCTTTGCTGTGATAACTGCCATTCTCATGTGGCTCTGGCCTTAAACTTGATGAGATACGATAACAGCACCTCCTGGAACATGGTGAAACTCTGCTTCTTCTCACTCCTGTATGGGAAGTATGTAAGGTGAGCTGAGGAGCAGTCTAGATTCAGCAGGCAAAGGGTCTCTGTTTCTTTCGTTCTTCCTCGCTCTCCAAAGCCTCAGACTGTCCTGTGGAGAAGGGAGAAACACTCACGTGTTGTGGGGGAGAGATGTATGTTGCTGGTACTGTCACTACGTGCTGCCTCTTCTTAGGAATAAGAACCAAGGGTGCTTTCTGGGTTTCACCAGATGCTGCTCCTAACATACTGTATCTGGCAGCTAATTTAGGGTGCTTCGAATTTGAGAAATGCTAGCTGAAGCAAATCTCACTCTGTGTTGTCTGTTGGTGGGGTTAGGTCAGAACATAAGGCCACAGACTGGCTTGTCTCCAAGGATTACTGGTTTCTCTTCCCTCTCTTGAATCTTGTTTACATAAAACCTAGTCAGATTTCCAACTGGTATAGAGCTTCGAACTTGAGTGGAGAGGGAAACCCCGAGCTCTCCTTACTAGACAGGGCACTTCATCTCCATTTCAGCTCCTCGTGCCTGAAGAGGAGATTCTGCAAAGACTGCCCTGCATAAAGCTTTTGAGTTGCCCCACTTCTGTTGGGTCTCCCCTGTTCTGGAAGAGCTTCTCTATCAACTTTTAGGCAAGTGTAGTCCCTGCTGTCTTCGTTAAATACACCAGCAGTCTGAATAACAAGGCCTGGCAGTAATGAGGTTTCATTTTTGTTGGTCTCCTGTCACCACTCCTGCCTGTGCAGGTATGAAACGTGCTAGTCTTCGACCTGAATTTAAGCTGGAAGGAGAGTCCAGCCCTATTGTTCATGATACAGTTGTCTGTGGACCTGATTTAGTCTCAATTTTAAACACTGAGTGAATCTCCGGGATGTGATGTGTGGCAGTGCCAGCAATGGATAAGAAAGTCAGAAGGGCACCTGTCTCCCTCTGATTTCCCCAGTTGCTCTCACATCCTTTTCTCCCTTTTGTCTTTGCTGATTTCTTACTTTTAAACCCTCCCCCTTTTTCCCATCTTGCAGCATAGGGGGATTTGTGAAGACCTGGCTTCCCTTTGTCCTCTTCTTGGGGCTGATCGTGACCGTTGTTCTGACGCTCCACTTGCGGTGATGGCAGCTGTGAACTCCCCGTTCCGTGGGCACACGAAGGAGGAAACCGTGACTGATCCAGTGAGATGGAGGCATGGGACTCTGAGAGGCGTTTTCCGGGGAAGGTGGCAACTCCACTCCATTGTAACAGCTCATCTTTGTTTCCTGGAACTGGCTTCTTTTCCTTCTGTTTTTGTTCTGTTGATGGTATCGCCCAATGTCAGGGGTCCTGGAGCCTCCTACTCTCTCCTTCAATATGCTTCCTTTCTGCAATTTGGTAGGTAGAAACACAGGAAAGGAGAGGCGTGGGCACCTTTGCTTTCATTGCAAAGTGATGCTGCAAGGAGCATTAGCAGATCCACCTCGTAAGGTTCTCTCTGATCACTTGGTTTCTTCCTCTTGGCAGACTTCATCAGATGCTTCCTCAGATTTCCTGAGTCTCCAAGAAGGAGTTGTTGTTTCCCTGTTGAGTGACTCTCTCGTAGCACATGTTTCAAAGTGGAGGTGTGGGGTTCTTCCTGGGGATGTAGGGTGCCACAGCACTCACTGACAGTCTCCCCAGTAGTGACAGAAGGGTGTTGACAGCGGGATGCTCCTCTGAGGAGACGCATAGAGGAGCGCTCCGTGGCAGGGCAAATTCATCTGGTCCTGCTGGTGAGCCCAGAAAGGCAGGAAAGTCGATCGACTGGCTTGGGCATGGCTCATGGCAGCCTGCACACTTTCAGCTCTGCCTGTTGCAGAGTTGGGAGTGTACTGCTGCGTCCCTTTTAGCTTGTGCCAGAGAAAACAGAGCTTCTCCGCTTCTCCCTGTGCTCTGAATATCTAAAGCGGTCGTTACGCTTGTCACGAGCCGCTGACTTTGCTTTGATCCCTCCTGCTTCGTGTGTCGCAGCATATCTGAGCCTGCAGAGGTGGCAGCAGCAGCAGCTGCGTGTTTCTGGGGCAGAAGGCTTAGCGTAGGGTTTTGAAAGCAGCACCTGAGACCTGAGCTTAGTGGGGCCATCAGAGATTCAAAAAAGAGGTGAAGGGACTGGAAGATACTCGTGTTCTGGTTGGGCTTTGCAGCAGCAAACTGGGGCACTGGCTTTCTTGCGGCTGGTTTCAGGGCAGTGAGCAAGAAGGTCTGTTTACTTCCTTGGTGTGCTTCAAAGAGCACACCTCGGGTAAAAACACTTTGCAGGACTGGCTTTGATGTGAGAAATGCTGGTCTGGCAGCGTTGGGGGCTGATGGGCCTTCTGAGCCCCGGATCAGGCAGGACGGGTAGTAAGTTGTTCGTGAGTGCTAGGTGGGAAGTGGATTTGGATGTGACCCAGGACGTTTTCCAGGACAAGAAGTCTGGGTCTGTGTTTGCTGAGGCTCTGGCCTGCAGATGCTGCTTTCTGTGGGGCTCTGAGCCAGGTGACTTTTTAAAAAAAAGTGTGGCTGAAGGGTTATGTCCAGTTGAGCAGATCCCCTCTGACTGCAGAGGATGGAGAATGGCTTTTCCACTCATGCCATGAAAGAGCAGGTCTTTACTCCACTACCTGATGAATTTCAACCTCAAGGAGTGCTCGTGGCCAGCAAGAAAGCTCTTCTCGCCTGCCTGCCATCTCTGTGGCTTCCTCTGACTGGGGAGCCCATTCACAGTCACCCTCCTGGCTCTCACACCTGTCCCAGTGTGCCTTTCCATCCGCTTCCACCTCTCCAACTCCTCTAGCCATGTGGGAGGCTCGGGGACTCCTCTTGGCCTTCTCCATTTCTGCATTTCCTCCTCTTCCTCGGTCACTTTTAAATAGCCCCTTAAACCTCTCCCTTCTCCCTGGCACCCAGTTGTCTGTCATCTGGTGCTGGCCTTTCTGGGGTGGGTGGAGAAGGTGTGCAGACCTCGGCACCCTTCCCCGTCTGCCTGGAACTGAAACAGTCGTCGATGTCTGCTCTGTGCCGTCGTTTCAAGCGCGCGTGGAAAGTCGGGTGGCGGGTGCTGGGCCTGGGGCTGATCAGAAAGCCGAGCTCTTGATCAAAGAGAACCTCATGATGAAAGGCTGGTGTCGTACTGGGCTGCCCTGTGTTGCTGCGGTCTCCACCCAGCGAGCCCGCTGGCTACCGTGCCCTAGGATGAGCGCCTTGAACAGGAGAGATGAGTCCTTTGCCTCTGTTTTTAATTTAAGTACGATTTCTCAGTGGCCCGCCAAGGATGTGCTGGGAGTCCCTGGCCCAGGGCTGAAGCCTGTAGCAATAACCCAGAGACTCTTGGGCCTGCCTCGCACGTCGCGCCGGGGTTTTATCGATAAGCTATACGAGCGTTGCCAAAGCTGAGACTCCAGGCTGTCAGGGGAGGCTGGGAGCGGGGCCACTGGCCACATCCCTGCTCCTGGCCCTTCTGAAAACATGTCGAGTGCCATTCCCCACCGTGAGAACCCCCTTGTCGTTTTGCTCCTAACGCTTTTTAGCAGATCTGGGTTGCCAACAGAGACTTATCGTCGGCACCGAACGGGCCTCGTAGCGGGTTGGACTGCTGTTTGCCAGGGAAGGAGGGCAGCACCTCACCCAAGTCCCTGGCGGCCCAGCCGTCCCGCTTCCATCGACAGAGACGGAGGACGGCTCTGGGCATCCGAAGGAAATGTGGCTAACGGGAGAGCAAGACCCGGAGCCGAGGTACCGCAGAGCCAGCCCGCACCTCCGTGCTGGACACGCAAAGCTGTGTGTACTCATGCAACGAAGGATGGTGCCCGCAGAGGTGGGATGCTGGGAGAGGGAGGTGGGCTGGTCGGATTTACTGGTTTCCTACGCTGGGGTAGTGGCAGGGCAGCGGCGGCTTTTTTGCGGTTGTGTGGGCAGTGGGCTGCTTCCTCCTGGCGTGGGAGGTGGCAGAGGGGTGGGTGAGTAAGGAACGTCCTCTCCCTGCATCTTCCTCCGTCCCACTACCGGCTTCTTCATGGTGCCCCCTTTGACTTGGCCACGTTAAAGGTTCACCCGTCCTTCACCTTCCAGGTGCCAGTTTTGTGCCCCCCTCCTGTGCCCGTTGCACGTGCTTGTGCTGCAGAGCTCCGGGGCTTTGCCGTTCGTTGCTCTCCAGTGAGGGTGAGCCCTCCAGACCCTCCTCATCCTTTGTTCTCTTCATCTCCATGGGGCGCTGGATTACTTTGTAAATATTTAAACTCTGCTTCTGTGGTTTCATAATCCTGATGGTAGGGGAAATAAACTTATTTCTGTGGATGTCTCCAAATGCCGCATCTCTTATAGTCAAGACTCTCTCCTCCTTCCAGCTAGGAGCACGGTTGGTGTTCCCCCCCTGCCCCACTGCGCTCCGGCCGCTCTCCTGCCCCGGGGCAGCGTGTCTGGCTGCCCGCAGGAGCCGGACGCCAATACTCCCACATCTTTTACTTTATGAACTTGCCCTTTGCTCTGCTCCAAGGCAAAACTCACAGCCTTGTTTTCAGACCTGCTGTTGGGAAGGGGGGTTCTGGGAGCAGGAGGGACCCCATTGCCACAACGTGGGAATCGTTTGCGGGGTTTGATGCCGGATCTCAAAGCCAGGGACCTGCCAAGGGTCATTGTTATGTTTGGGAGGAGAAGGGACTCTGCCTGCTCTTGCCCTGTGCTGTTCCCTCAGCCTCTGCCCGGTAGGCAGAGCCCTCCCTGGCCCTGGGCAGGGGGAGCCAAGCCCTCTGGGGAGGAGGATGCTTTTTTTAGAATCACAGATTCATGGAATGGTTTAGGTTGGAAGGGACATTCAAGATCCCAGTTCCAACGCCCCTGCCATGGGCAGGGACACCTTCCACTACACCAGGTTGTCCAAAGCCTCATCCAACCTGGCCTTGAACACTTCGAGGGATGGGGCAGCCACAGCTTCTCTGGGCAGCCTGTGCCAGTGCCTCAGCACCCTCAGAGGGAAGAATTTCTTCCTTAGATCTCATCGAAATCTCCCCTCTTCCAGTTTAAAGCCATTGCCCCGTGTCCTGTCACTCCACGCCCTTGTCCAAAGCCCCTCTCCAGCTTCCTTATAGCCCCTTTAGGCACTGGAAGGTGCTGGAAGGTCTCCCCGGAGCCTTCTCTTCTCCAGGCTGAACAGCCCCAACTCTCCGGGGTCTCAGGAGATAAGCCCCCTCTCGCAGGTTGAGCCCCTTTAGCTGTGAATAGCTCCCCTTTCCCTTAAGCCCCCAGTCTTCCATTTCCCTGCAAGCCGATGGGGACGGGACACGTGTGCTGGGGCCGGGGCTGCCGGGAGAAACGGGGAGCAGAGCGGGATGCAAAGAGCCGACCTCGTTTTCCCCTCTCCCAGCAGGATACCACTGCCTGGACTGGGAGTGAGGGAAGCTGGGCCTCCTGGTGCCGTAACGATTGCTAACGCAGCAGCCGATTTTTTTTTTTTTTTACGATATCCAGAGGCTGAAGCTGCGCGGTGGGGAAGGAGACCAGCCTTAAAATCGGGCTGTGTACAGGCTGGGGGGGTGTGACGGCGCAGCCATCTTACAAAACACCACCTGGATCCTCTCCCGTTCGGCCCCTCGATCCAAACCACCCTGCTCCTGTGCCTGCTTCGACTCCGGGGCTGCGAAATGGCAGCGAGGAGGAGGAGGATGGCAGGCGGCTTCCAAGGGCTTTTTCCTGCACGCGCCTGGTGCAGGAGCACGAGGTGAGGATACAAACTCCCCCCAGGAATGTGCTCTGCACGGCTCTGTGCTGCTGTGACCGGCCAGCCGGGTCCCTGCTCGCCTCCCAAGCGTGGTGGGATTTTTCTAACCCACTTGTGCTGCTCGGGGTGCTGGAGGGAATCTGGCTGGAGACATGTGGGAGCTGAGCCGCACCGTTTGGGTTGTGGTATTTGGGGATTCGACGGAAGCA